TCCTCAAAAATCATAACTTATATATATATATATATATATATATATATATATATATAATATATATATATATATATATATATATATATATATATATATATATATAGTGTTAATCACAGCTGCTAAGTTAAAAAATAAAGTAAACAATAAGACTCTTTGGGTACAAACAGCTGAAAGGATAGGCTAAGTGTACTCTTTAGTCCTTTATTAATCCAATATTTCGTCGATAGTCATCGACATCATCAGGGATGAGCTACAAATAGTTTCACATGAAAATTGACAATCTAGTTTAATTAAGTTGATGTTACTTACCATTTTGAGAATATTGCCGTAAAAGCTGGTCAAAGTTGTAAAAATTTTTTTGTGAAAAATTGTATGTTTTTTTCACAAAAAGAAAAACATGCAATGTAAATTTACAAAAACTGTTTCTCCTTTATCAAGTTAATATGCTCTTTTCCTAACTTGGCTGCACCGTACTGAAGACGACCAATAGTCAGAAATACCAATACACAATCTTATACACACATATTATTATATATTTTTTTCCTTTGTTGCAATGCCATCTTTTACCTTTATTATTATTATATTATATATATATATATATATATATATATATATATATATTATATAATATATATATGTATATATATATATATATATATATGTATATATATATAAATATATATATATATATAATATATATATATATATATATATATATATATATATATATATATATATATAATAGAGTGTGTATAACGACGCTAAGAATACAATTCTTTGGAGGGTAACGTTCGGGAATTTTCGGGGATTTTCCTTGCTTATTATGTTGCCTAGGGCTCTTTCTTTTCGTATCCATGTGGTTGTGAGGTGCAAAAGTGAAAATTATAACCTCGTTACATATGACACCCGGATGTTGACAGAAATATGTCATCAAAAAAGAAGATTAATTCTTCTTTTCTATTTGCAGTTTTTGTAGGTTGTAAATTTTAGAGTTTTTGTTGTGTTTGTATTTGAAAAACTACCCTGTTTGTGTTGTAATGTTTTTATTCAAAATTTTAAATGTATTTTTTAATATTTTTAACATGTTTGTGACAGTGTTCTTTACAACTAGGACCAACTGAACATTTTCAATGTAGGTTTTTAAATGTTGATTTCCACCACTGTACTATAATAGGTTTTCCATTTAGGTGCTGATGAAGGTGACAACATATCACCGAAAATTTCACATTTAGAATAAAGTTCTACACCAAGCTGGCTTATACCATCTCTAGCTGATCCTTGTTTTGAAGCTTTCCCGAAAGTTACCCTCCAAAGAATTATATATATATATTATATATACCCTGTCCATCAATTATCAAACATTACAATGCACATATGGGTGGCGTAGATTTGGCAGATATGCTAGTTGCGCTTTATCGAACACCTTTTAAAAGCCACAGGTGGTACCTTTCAATTTTTTCCCAAATACTGGATATATGTGTCAACAACGCTTGGATTTTATATCGCGGAGACAATAATTTACTGGAGGACGAAGAAAATGGTATGGGTCTAAAGGAATTTAGAATATTACTTGTCGATTCCCTTCTATTTAAAAATTGAAAAAGGAGATCCAACGGAATTAATACACCGAAAAAAAAAAAAGATTCCTACTCACGTCCAGAATATACCTGGAGAAGATGTTAGAAAAGATCTTTTTGGACACTTTTTTGCAACTTTTACAACCAAAGGACGATGTCGAAACTGTTACAAAGGACAAACAACTATGAGTTGTTCAAAATGTAGAGCGAGGTTATGTTTAGTGGAATCCCGTAATTGTTTTTATGATTTTCATAACTAAATTTTTTAATTTTTTAACAAATTATAATTATTACTTTTTACTTTTATTTTTTGAGTGTTCTAAGTTTTATTTAAAGTTTTGAATTTAAGCTGTAAAAATAAATGTTTGATCATCTTTGTAGTTTATTGAATAAACTAAATGATAAAATATTGTTATGTTACTAAAAGTAAATGATAAAATATTATGTTTATGGTTTAAACCCCTACTTTATGGTATCTGTTCACAATAACTGAAGTAAAACACAGTTCCACAAAATGTAGTAAAAACATTAAACAAATCTACAATTGTTTTGCTAAAAGTCTTGATAATGCTAAAGACCCTTAGCGAAAAAATTGTAGATTTGTTTAATGTTTTTATTATATTTTGGGAAAATTTGATAATTTCCATTTAATCCAACATTATTTAATATATTGGTCCAAACGACAAATATACGTCTTGGCAATGTATCTTTCTAGATACGGAGGTATTTTTCTAATAACCTGGCAATGTATCTATTGGTCGTCAGTACTTGTTTTATAGTATACCTGGCAATGTGTCTTGCGAGATACATTGTAATATACCGTACGCCTAGCAGTGTATCTTATGAGATACAACGTCAATAAAATGTCAAAAAAATTAAAATAGAAACAAAAATGTAATTGACTCTGAAAATGGAGCCCTCAAAAGATAATATTCAGTAAGCAAAAACATTTTTCTTACAGCGGTTATGTGCGTGCCAAGTTAAGGGTTTTAAATGTTCTTGAACGGCTGCGACATTATGTGGCGGTGCTCCATCTTGTTGCCATATCATACTATTTAATTAATTTTGTGTATAATTTTGATTTAATAACTCATCCACTTCTGTAATGACTGTGTCCAAATATGATTCTCCAGTTAATTTATAATCATAAAACAATGGTCCAACCATGGATCCAACTATTTTGTTTTAAAATATTCCGCACCACACATTTATTTTCTTCCTGACTTTTTTATTTGCTTAATTTTTCTTTTTATATTATTTTTCTCTTCCCACAAATACCTATTTCTTCTATTAAAAATGTCTGAAGTTGAAAAGTTTGATTCATCTGTCCATAAAATGTTATAAAAATAATTAGGATCATTGTTCAAATTTGTAAGCATGTCTTGACAGAACTGTAAACGCTTACTCTTATGAACATTAGATTATTATGGATTTAATCTATTTTTTATGTATTTAATTTTTACCTTCAAAGTAAAGCAAAGTATTAAGATATTCATCAGTATTTCCTACGATAGTACGTTTCTTCCGTTCAAACATTTTTCCATTTATGACATGACGATAATTATATAAAAATGTATTTGCAGGAGGAGTCTGTCGATCTGGATAAATCAGCCTATATTCTCTTCTTGCCGCATGCTTGTTTTTATTATTTTTTACATAAATTGAGAATATATCTACTTTTTCATCTGCAGTATAACCCATTTCGCTATGAGTACTGACAGTTTATAATAAATTAATAATTGTTTCATTTTCCAATGTCAGTTGTATAGCGACCTATGGTTACCCTTTTGTAGTACCATATGCCATTAAAGAACAAAACTAATGCTACATAACGTTATATATTGGTAATCAGGAAATATAGAGCTACTCAAAACTATAAAAAAATATAGGGTGTCCCATTTGAAATATTGAAGATGCATTTTATTGGGCGCTCCCTGTATAAAAAATTTGGTCTGTTGTTACATTGTTGGTCGGTACAGATAAAATAATATAACTTTTATTTGAAAATAATTTTTGTATTCCCGAAATTAAGGAAAATAAGTATGGGTCAAAATATAATGAGAAACCCGGTACTCTGTTTTACCTGGACTGAACTTAATGGTGATAGAGGCAGCTTATGATTTGCGACATGTTTTATCACTATTTAAAAACCTTCTTGCGAGAGTTATAGAACTATCATTGTTTCCAGATACTTGCGGAGGACAAAATAGGAATTAGTTTTTCATCGAAATTCTGTATTACTTTGTTTACGCGTTATGTGGCTCTAATATTACTTTGATCAAGCAAAACTGTCTAAAGTCAGGACATACGATGATTTTATTATTTTACGAAAAATATTTCTGTCTTTAAATACTAATTCCAGTATTTATAGCAGTAGTGAACCAAAGGAAACCGAAGACGTAGAGCAAGTCTAAACTAATCGAATTTATGTTTTTATTTTTATTTATTTTTTTTTTGTTTTTTTAAGCCCTTCTCTCTATTCGGATTGCCGATTATAGGCCTCTCCTAATTCTCGTCATGCATCTCTATTGTTTGTAAGACGTTTCCACATTGGTCTTGCAGTTCTTTTAATATCGTCACTCCAGCGCATTTGCATTCTTCCTCATGGTCGATTTCTTTATTCCATCAGCCATCCTTAAGACGTTTGTTATGTCCAGCCCATTTTAATTTCAGTTTAGCTGCCTGTTCGATTGCATCTTTTACTTTTGTTTTATTACGAATGTCTTTATTGGTTTTATGGTCTTTGAGTGAGAAACCCAGCATCTGAGATACCGAGCATACCCATTTTCCCATACCAATTTTATTTTTATAAAACGCTTTATTTAAGTGAGTTCCTTTAATTTAGGTTATAAATAATGTTTATAATAATGTTTAACTAATTCTCCAAATTTACCTTTTAGAAACCTGGCAGAAATCACTAAGTGCATTAAATATTGTTTATGACCAACTATCATTAATTTCAAATAACATAGTGTAAAGGTCGTGAGTTCGAATCTCATCTGGGTGGAGAAATTTTCGTTTAATAAAAATTAATGAATGAAAATAATTTATATCCTTGTGTGATCGGTACTCACCGGAGGGACCGCAGACGTTCGGATACAATTAGCGTCTCTTAGCAAAGACAATGACTTTGCTAAGTATCAAGACAATTACTCTACACACACACACACACACACACACACACACACACACACACACACACACACACACACACACACACACACTATACTAGGTACCTGACTGTACCATGCCAATGATCTTAGTTGTCTAGGCATTAACTCCATAATAAAAAATTAATAACATAGTGTATTCACATCTTAAAGCATTACTAGACTTATACAATTGCATCAGGAAGTTTTTTAACTATTTTATAAAGATGAATATTTTAAACAACAATTACAACTAACATGTTCGTTTTCTCAGATTTGTTATTTTGGACTTAGTGACTTCTGCCGCGACGATAACGATATGTAAGTTAAATACCAGATTTATTCACTATTCATTATATTCATAAAAGTCGTTATTTTCAAAAAGTTAGTGGATTGGATAGAGCGAATCAAATATAATTATATATAAGTCCTGCTGGCGCGATACAAACAACAATACATTAGCTCATAAGACAGTTTGTTATAGTACGGTACTAGCTTGTACAAAAAATTTAAGCGGTATTAAATACCACTGTGCTAACATTTGTAATAATAATATTGGTCAAATAGACGGTCAGATAACCAAGCGGGTTAGGCGGCCGGTTCTCATTCGCTTCACTGCGAGTGGTTTAGTGGATGTCCAAAATATAGAACTTCCCTAATTTTAGCTTGCTCTAATTCACCCCAATAATAATTTAAACATTTATTTTCAAATGTTTCAAATGTTTCAAATGTGAAAATTATCCAAATCATTTTCAATACTGGCAAACCAAGTTGCCGCATTGTCATTTAGTGTCATTGTTATATAATCTTTAATATCATTAATATTATTCACTAATCTTAATTTGCGTTTTAAACTATTTATCTCTACTCTAGGATGCAAATTTTTTATATTACCAGAGAATTTAATCTCAGTCTCATTTGTTAAATTTAAGTAAGGTCTCCATATGTCTCTCATTTGTGAAATGTCATCTACTCTCTGTTCCACATTTCTTATTTGATTACTATTTATTTGGATATTTTGTTGCATGTCGTCTAATTTTTCTTCTGTCTTTCTCTTGTCTTCGTTAATTTTAACTTCTAAGTTACATTTCTTCAACTTTATTTTCTGTTCTATATCTATCTTATTATCTTGAGTAATCCTATTTACTTCTGTTACCTAATTTTCTATCCTTTTCTTGTAGTCATGCGATCCGGATCGTCTTTTGTTAGCTCCTGTACAATTGTCAATTTATATGGATGAAGTTTTCTTCAGGGAGACACCTTAGGACAGTTGTGTGACTCACATTATTTTGACGTATAATTTGACGTGAACTTGACGTTGGATTCTCTGCGACACTTTATGCAACAACAACTTTTCTCTGCAACAAAATATCCACTTTTACTTCATCTTGTATGTCAATGAAGTTCGATTTTCTTTTTAATGGTTTGACTGACATATCCAAGTTCTCTGAATTGTGCATAAATTTTAGACACAATACCTAGTGAAATATTAGGTAACTAAGGATACCTCTGATTAAATAAGTTTGCTACTTCAACTTGACTTCTACAATTCTCCCCGTAACCGATCATCATTAAAATCTCAATTCGGTGGGCCTTAGTTAAATATTTCATTTTTATTTATGCAAGAAATTAGTTTTTATTTAAGAATTTATTATTTTAATGTAAAATGTCAACAGCATGTCAACTGATTGATAACAATCCGCATTATTTACCGATTTAGTTTAATTAGTAAACTATCTATACAGTTTTTACCTATTCACGACAAAAAATATTAACACGGTTACTAAACAAAAATTTTACCCAATACACAGTGTACTGACACTTAGAGTAAAGTCTATTGTCTGTATTTAGTTAATTTAAAATAATACCATAACACGTGATAAATTATTAATTTCAAAATTTCACCTTGTATTATTCATTATAGACCCCACATGATATAGTTTATTGATATCAGGTTGTTAAAAGTATTGTAAAAATAATAAAAATATACAGGGTATTTAATTAAAAATAAGGATTATGGACTATGCCAGACTTGCGTGGATCACCCTGTACATTTAGACGTATGTTTAAAAAGCGCACATTTAAATTTAAAAGTTAACGTGTCCCAGAGTTTTTGATTATTTTTTATAATAAGGACACAAACAATTTTATTCCATAAGTGATTTCCGCACTATATAACTTGTTATTTTAAACTTAAAATTGATAATTATTGTATGTAACTGCTTAAATTTAATGAAAACTCATTCCTTTGAAAAGAAAGTTAAACTTTTCCGAATTCTTAAAAGGCAGTTATATTTCTTACAGTTACAGTTTAGTCTTTTTGTATACCTAAATTCTCTGAAAATTAATTTATTCTGTTTTCTTTACGATAACTATAATTACAGATCCTTATTTTATTAGCGCTACTTAAAAACCTTATTTACAAGGTGTTGTAAAGCGCAAGTTTTAATGAACCCTTCTCGGATACCTAACCTTATTCATCTTCTCATTACGTCGGCAATGTTTCTGCTACATTGAAACATTACCCAGGTTGCGGAATGGACATTCACCACTCGAAATTGGAGCTATTATTGAATTACGATGCCTTCGTAAGTACCTTCAAAAGTACTCATCACGAATTATCGTAATGATGGCGAAGTGCGTATTTGGTTTAACGATGGAACGTATAATTTCAGACCGGAGAGTTTATGGCTTTTAGGTTAAGTGTTATTTCGAATGACGCAGCGAGAAATGGCCAATTTTTAAGAACAAAAACCGCTGCGAATATTGTTTTTAACATAAATATAGTGTAGCAATTTTCAAAAAGTTTTTCTTGCAATGCTTATTTAATTTTAGATTGAAAGTTATTAAAAGTAACCGAATAGTCATAATTTTTATAAAGGACATAAACAGTTTATAATTCTATTTAATCATTGTTTTATGCTTCTTCGTTTATTGCTTCCTTTTATCCCACTTATTTTTTGAACTTTTTCATTTTCTTTATTATTGTTCAACCTACTCTTATTCCTAATCCGCTACAGTTTCATTCTTCTTGGTACGTGGTTTTCTTTCTAAATAAATAATGATTACATTAATTTATCTACATATGTTTTATTACTCACAGTAATGAACATTAGCTTGAACCAATCTTTACAGTAAATAGCGGTTATATATATTTATATATATATATATATATATATATATATATAATATATATATATATATATATATATATATATATATATATATACAGATTGAACGAAATAAATTCGGAACATAGGAATATAATGTATTTCGGCTAAATTCTGCTGTAGGTGGTTGGCCAACAAAAGATTGCCAAATAATTACATTATATAAAATCCCATATTTCAGCGGGCTGCTGGATTCTGAACTCATAAAAATTGAAAGCTACACATAAATCTACGATTTTATTATGCTGTCAAACAAGTTATAGTCCAGGAAATGTAGCATTTCACCTCGCAATTTTTTCGTGCGGCGTGGATTGACTTGAAATTTAACAAAAGGTAGGTAATAGCCTAAGGATCAAAATCTATATCGAACCAAAGTGCGCCAAAGCCTAGGGGGTGGTTGCCACCCCATCTCCGGGGTGAAAATTTTTCTTTTCGTTTTAACTACAGGTTTCGATTAGAAAAGTGATTCTAAACAAAAAATGTACTATACATTTTTTTTATAAAATGATATTTTTCAAGTTATTCGCGATTGAAAGTACCAACTTTTAGACGAAAAAATCCACGTTTTTAATCGATTTTTCGCGAATAACTCGAAAATGGTGCATTTTATCAAAAAAATTGTAAAGAACAAATTTGTAGCTTTTAAAAAGACAAATACAATTACAAATACAATATCAATGTTCAGCGGTTTTCATCAAATGTCAAATTTGAAAGATTCAAAGTCAAATATCGGGAAAATGATGCATTTTTGGAAATAAACTCACAAAACCTTTTTTAAAGAGCATAAATAGACCTATCATAAAAAAATAAGGTCAATACCCCATTTTTTACGAATAAATCGAGGAAAACAACACCCTAACCACTCCCATAATTAAAATCGATCTTCACCCTTCTGCAATTTCCTTTGTAGATGTATTGTTAATACGTCCAAGAAGTTTGACCCATTTAAAATGCTTAGTTTTAGAAAAAGTACAGCTTAAAGCGAGAAACGATGTACAATTTCATATTTTTTACCCTTCTGTTTTTAAATATGCCCGAAAATACTGAATATATGAAAACAATAAAAATTACCAAATTGTAGCTTTTTTAATGACTAAAATTATCCTTTATTTAGATTTGTTGTACAATGAATATTTGGCGAGATATAGCCGTTTAAAGCATCGATTTATGATCAAGCACCATCTTTTTCGAGCCCTTTAAACTCACCCCATTTAAAAACCAAGGGTTCCAAAAAGATTTAATTCACAGATCCTTGTAGCTATTAAAAACCTCTACAAATCGTTTTTGAAGAAACACTCTATCATTAAAAATTAAAGGAAATACGTTAAAAAACCGGTTAGTTTTTTTCCGGAAAATTCCATTAGTATAGTACAGTACATTTCGGAGCATAATAATCTACAAAACCGGTATATTAGCTAGTGGGGCGTTATACATTCGAAATTTTAAGCGTTCTTATTTTGAAATCCCATACAACAGAATAAAACATCTGCTCATATGTCTATGGCTTGGCAATGAAAATATCAGAGCAACAGATTGGGGATGGTATTCCAAAGATGGTTTGTTATTACCCGTACGCATGAACAAACAACCTGCACCCGATAAATTTTTGAAAATTATTTTTTGCCAATGCAAAAAATATGCGGCGTTTCATATGGGTGCAGAAAAGTTGGTTTATACTGTAACTCTACTTGTTCTTGGTGCTCAGGTGAAGGGTGCAATAGCAGTCCACCAATAATTGAAGAAGATGAGGATAACATAGATGAAGATGTAATTGATGACGAATAAAATTAATATTATAATTGTTTTACCTATAAATGTAAATATTTTCAACTATTTATGTAAATGTATAAGAATATATGGTGCCTTTTTATGTTAATAATTTTTTTTGTATTTAATTCTACTTTTTTCAATTTATATCTTATAAATTAGTTTATAAAAACTGCAATGTTGTAAAGGGTGATTTTCAACAGTTGAAAAGTTGCAAAATTTTGGCAAAAAATTGTTTTTACCTATAGCACTCATAACAATTGATTTTTAAGAGTTGAAAATGTATGAATTTGTATTTTAAAGTATAAAAAACTCACTATTTAACTAATCCAAACCAAATTTCACTCATCTTAAGATTTGTAATATTATTTTACAATTTTTGAAAATTAGGGTTAGTTTTCACCCCTAAGAACAATCAGTGTTCATCGGCGTGACATAAACTATAAAGCAGAGGGTGAGTTGAGCTTAATTCCAAATTTTTATGCAAATCGTTCCAAGGTGAAATCATTTTCTTTGCATTACTAATTTTTTTATATTAATCTCTAATAAGGTCGCTTTTTAAGGGTTGAAATATAAAGGAACTTTATTCAAAAGCACGAAACTATCATTATTTAATTAATTCAAACCAAATTTTACCCATATTCAGGTTTAATATGTTATTTTATAATTTTTGACAATTAGGGGTAGTTTTCACCCCTAAGAACACTCAGGGTTCGTCGACATGACATAAACTATAAAGCAGCGGGTGAATTGAGCTTAAATCCAAATTTTTATCCAAATCGATCCAAGGCGAAATCATTTTTTTAGAATTAGTAATTTTTTACATTAATCTCTAACAAGGGTTGCTTTTTAAGAGTTGAAATATGATGGAACTCTATTCAAAAGTATAAAATAATCATTATTTAACTAATTCAAACCAAGTCTTACCCATATTCAGGTTTAATATGTTATTTTATAATTTTTGACAATTAGGGGTAGTTTTCACCCCTAAAACCCTTCAGCGCACTTCGGTTTGATATAGATTTTGATCCTTGGGCTATTACCTACCTTCTGCTAAAATTTCAACTGGATACAAGCAGGACGAAAAAATTGCGAGGTTTTAACTTTTTTCGAACTTCATTTCCTGAACTATCATCACCTCCTTAGACAAACCCGTCTTACGCAAACAACTTTGTTGCGAGACAGATAGTTGAACGATATTTTATACAATGTCTATACCCAGGTATGGATTGATTTTTGTCCAAGTTTTATATTGGTCCACTATTTCAAATGCAGTTCAAACAGACATGTATTAAATTGTATGTTCCGTTTTAATTTGGTTCAATCTGTATATATAATATATATATATAATATATATATATATATATATATATATATATATATATATATGTTGAACATTATTCCGGGAAAATATCCGTTGGTCATTTTTTAATTGCAGACGTTTCGCCAAGGTCTCACTTGGCATCTTCTGTGCGTTGTCTTCGGTCTCGTAGTCGGTAACTTACCGACTACGAGACCGAAGACAACGCACAGAAGATGCCAAGTGAGACCTTGGCGAAACGTCTGCAATTAAAAAATGACCAACGGATATTTTCCCGGAATAATTGTTCAACATATTACTCCATCCGTGAAACACTTCAAACTAACATATATATATATATATATATATATATATATATATATATATATATTATATATATATATATATATATATATATACCAGCGGACCAACTCGACTTCGAGTTTTTTAAATAAAATTTTTATTTTGCGAGAAATATTAAGAAATCAATACAAACAATATAAGCAAGAATATACATAACATTCATCAATAATAATGCAAGTAAAGAGTGTATTAAATATCACGAAATATTTCGTCGAAAACAATGTTTTTTTGTTTCAATGTCTCCATTTTCTGAAAACTTTTGCTTGGCACCGGGAGTAATGTAAACTTTTTCTTTTACTTTTTAATAAAAACAAAACCGGAAGTCAACCTCAAAACCGGAATACAATTTCTAGTTCATCAAATGTCGACATGGATATCATTTAGCAGTTAATTTTGTATGCTGATTACGAATCCGGTGTCAGATTTGCTCTATCTTGACGTTTTATGCGCGTTTCGGGTCACTTCCGGTGTCGGATCGCAACCGGAAGTACATATTTAGATTCTTCTCGACGAGACCTTTCGATCCATATATACATTGTGGGGTCTAAAACTTAAAGTAAATTTTAACTTCCGGTCATCTCAAAACCGGAAGTGAATTATTTTTGTACCAAAAGTATATCTTGACAATCTCATACGTAATACTTATAATATTCCGAAAAAAATATTTTAATTATCTAATATGGTTTTTGAGTAAAGTGGTGGACAAGAAAAAGGCTTAGTGTTTTAGTATATAAGATATAATATATATATATATATATATATATATATATATATATATATATATATATATTTATATTTATCTTACTCATTACTAGTTACTATATATTTTTATACATTCCTTACTTATTACTAGTAGTATGTAACCTACATATCGCGTCTGTAACCTATAAATTGATGTTAACTAAACACGTGCATGAACAACTATAAATAATACAATTTTAATAAAGAAAAATTGGTTGCTTTGCTTTTTTATTCGTCTATATATAATGTAGTTGCTAATTAACACAGGTTAGTGATATAATAATGATTTTAATATTGTTTTAATCGATTTTACCATAATTTCTAAATGGGACTCTAGTGTCCCGAAAGTAGTTTATACCAGGTCGTATTTTCCCATTCGTATTGTTTGGTTGTAGACTTACTATGGCACGTAGGCGTTTTCTAACACAAAAACAGCTTCAAGAATAAATCAAAAACCTCTCAAATATTTCTGAAAATAAATCCAAGGAAGAACCTTATGCTATCTCAGAGTCTGATTATGTATCTGGTGACGACTCTGCTTAAGATTCTGAACCCTCAATAAGACAACGGGAACAAATTTCCCACTTTACTTTGCCGCCAAATTTCAATTGTCGCTATTAATACACAGAATGTTGAAGTTTATGATAGTAAGTATTCGTTTCATGGATAAATTCACCAACTATTCTAACAGCTACTAGACAGATCTGATGTTTAGTTGATAATCGACAAGTAGATGTTTATAGGTTTTGATATTTCTTGCCGCCAAAAGTTCGCAAATTATTTAGTAAATCAGTTCCAAAAATTGTGGTAAGTCAAAAGTAATTATATTTTTGATATATATTATTTGGGCAAGCTAAATACATTCTAATTTGTTTTAAAAATGTATGAAAAGATACTTATTTTTGTCTTTGAAGTTGGTGTGAAAATAATTCCCCTTGTCCAAATAAATAAAAAAAACGCAAAAGTGATGCGTCAAAAACTTTAAAATTTCTGTTATATTTTAGCATTAAGAATTCAAGAAAGGGATTTTCAGAGCGTGAACTCCTTTCCGCCTTAGAAGAAGTTTGGTCTTATGTTGATCTGGACTCTGATTATGATGATGATGACATTTTTGTACCACCCCCATCTACTTCTGTTTGTGGTAAGTCCGATGGAGTGGTTATTGATAGCAGGATTGAGCTATTGCTTAGTGAATCTAATGAAGATGTTCCCTCTACATCCGTCGAGGTAAATTCCACGATTAAAAGAACCTCTGAGAATTACTCTCAAGAAAATCAATGTGTCTTGGTAGAACAGAGTCCAGCGGTCCCCTAACTAATTTTACTGCTGAGCAACGAATTCAAATATCAAATAGACAATGACCTCTGAAACAGATGTTCCAGAAATACCTAAATTTGAGTCTGTTTTACAGTCAAATGTTCAATTCACCCATAAAAGCCAACCAATATTTTATTTTGAGAATTTCTTCCTCTACATAGAAAAAGTGCACAAATGCAAAAAAGACACAAAATAGAACACTAGCCAAGAAGAAATAAGGACATTGCTAGGTGTTTTATTTAATGGTACTGCACCCTTTACCAGACAGGGATTTATATTGATCAAGTGATCCTTTTTATAATAACCCTATTATCTCTAAAGCTTTTACAATAACCAGGTTCAAAAAGTTAATAGAAAATATCCATCTAAATGATAATTCAGCAGCTGCAGAGAGAGGCTCACCTAACTTTGACGCATTGTATAAGATAAGACAATTTATAGAGACTAAATGAAATTTTCAAAGAACAAGCTAATCCTGGAAGTAGATTTTCTATTGATGAATGTATGGTGAAATTTAAAGGACGTAGTTCTATCAAAACAGTTAATATATGCTCAAGAAGCCAATTAAGCGTGGTTATAAAATTTGGGCAAAGTGTGATGCTCTTACTGGGTATCTGTACCAGTTTATTATCTACACTGGAAAAACTGAAGGCAGTGAAAATGATGGCTTGGGCCATAAGGTTGTAACTGAATTATGCCAAGATATACCACACAAATCTTTGGTTGTTTTTGATAACTTTTTTACGAGTTGCAAACTGTTGGAAGATTTATATATACTGTCATATACATATATATATATATATATATATATATATATATATATATATATATATATATATATATATATATATATATATACTGTCAGACCTAATTGCAAGGGTTAACCTAATTTCATGAGGAAAAAAGACACCAAAAATGAAAAACTTCAAAAGAATGCATTCTATTGTTTGAGCAGTGGCCCTATTACAGCAATAAAGTGGTTAGACACCAAAGAAGTCACAGTTATTACAACTGCCAATCAACCACATGAAGTAACCATGATAAAACGTACACAAAGAGATGGCACAAAGAAAGATATAATCTGCCCAAAAGTTATTGCAGATTATACACTAAACATGGGAGGTGTTGATCATTTTGACCACTTTAGGGCATCATATCCCATAAGTAAGAAATCTAGAAAATCGTGGATGAGATTGTTCTTTTTTCTTTTAGATGTAAGTGCGAACAATGCGTATATAATATATACAAGAATTAATGTTTAAAAAAATACTTCCCACAGGGATTTTAGGCTTCGTCTTGGAAGAGATCTCATAGGTGACTTTACAGTAAAATCATCCCTACCTGTTATATTTAAAAATAAAAAAACGGGAAACTTTGGTGTTCCAGACGAAATTAGACTGAGAAATGTACGACCACATTTACCAGATGTTCAAAAAAATTATACAAGATGTAGATTTTGCTCAACAAAAAAAGAAGAAAAACGAATTAACATTATATGTAGTTATTGCAAGGTAACTTTATGCCCAAACATATGTTTTAAACCATTTCACACAGCTGTGGTTGAGACTTAAATTAGTTTTGTCGTCCATATATGCATTTTTGTACCTTTTAATTAAATAAATTGTTTCACTAATTGTACAAGGGTAATTAATTTCCCACCTACAAAAATTCTTTAAGGAACAACGGGCAAATAGTTCGCACCACTTTTTTTATTATTCTTTCAAATTATTTTGTATTTTACCAAACATATGTTTTATTTACATCCTTTAGATACCAAATGTATATAAACAAACAAATTAATTCTCCCTATATTCCATGTCTTATTAAGGGTTAAGTACCTGATAATACTACTGACCGTGTGGATCTAAACATCACTGTTTCCAAAGAAGAAATTTCTGATACCGCGGAAGTATCTGAAGATGATTTTGAAAAGAATGAATTGACTGCATAATGGAATATACCAAATACAAACTTTTGTCAAAAAAAAATCCTACTCAGAGAAATAATAATAACAATACTAAATATTGGTAAAGGTTATCGTTCTGTTGATGTTTTTCTAAAATTATTTCCGTTTAGTTTATTTATACATCTTGCTTCCTATACAAACCAAAGAAGCATAACTTCCAAAAAATAGAAATATAAAATTAAACACGAAAAGAGCAGATAGTATTATGTACGAACTGATGACAGTGATTGTCTAAAATCATTTTTTGTCATTTGTCATTAAAGATTGTCACTAAAGTCATTTTAAACAGTTTTATTCATCTACAATGAAATCAATAATGAAAGGGTTAAGCATTTCCAAAGATAAGCTAAGGGAATGAATGTAAGTGCAAATTATATAATTATAGATTTTATTTATAATGTACGTGATACCAACAAAAATGTCATTTTAAAAAAAAAACATATTTTAATTTAATTTTTTCGTTGTTATACTTTTAATTCTCACAGCAGAATTCACATTTTTATGTGTCATATATTATCTTGATAGCAGGTTGCAACTTTTTTTATCACTTGCTTCCATCAGTTATTCATTTTACGAATAGTAGATAGTAACAAATTATGAAGGCCATACCCACGTTTTACGAATTAATCACTTAGTGCAACACTCGAGGCAAAACTCTCAGCAGGAGAGCTTTGTGGTCACAGCAGGAGATTTTGTTGCATCCTTCATTCTCAGCTCGACCGGTTTCGGTGGTTTAAATCTTATTCTGGGTCGTAAGGGTTATTAGGAGAATTAGGAACACGCTGTTTTTAATATATATATATATATATATATATATATATATATATAATATATATATATATATATATATATATACAGTGAAACCTGGATAATTCGAATCTCAGGGGACCGCTAAAAAAATTCGAATTATCCAAAAATTCGAATTATCTACAAAGAGCAATGATACTTACAAAAGCATCTGCAAGCAATAAAATTCAACACTTTTGCAGATGTTTTCGTTTCTACTCTTACCCGAATTTTGTCAATCGAAAAAAATGGGCTAACAAAATTCGGCCAAGAATACCAATTAAAACATTTACAAGCTATAAAAATGGTCAATTATTGTAATTATGGCAGATGTTCTCATTGTTATTTTCGGCCAATCTTGGTCGATAAAAACCGCACAGTGAGAACGTGTCATTAAAACAATAAAAATCATTTTATCCCAAAAAACTTATTGAAAATAAGAACATTTGTTACAATTTAAAAAAAAACTAGTTTTTAACTGTTAAAGAGTTTAACTTTTTCCAAATAAATCCGAAATTTTTAGCTGCTTTTTAGAATTCAGCTTCTCGGTATGACAATGGCAATTTTTAATGTTCCATTTGTTAACAGAAATAACATTCTCACTAATTCTCAATTAGTGCCCTCAGCACAAAACAATTTTTCTCAAACAAGTGTGTATTTTTATGCCCTTCCGTATATTCCAAAACTAACCGTAGAACTTACTAAAATTTTCAAAGAATTTAAGAACATCAAAATAGCTAACAAGAAGATCAAAACCATACGTCAGCTGTATAGCAAAATAAAACAACCCCTAACTACTTTAGAGTCAAGAGATGTTGTTTATTGCATTCAATGTACTGAATGTCCATCCACGTACATTGGTGAAACTGGAAGAAATCTGTCTAGTCGTATCATTTCTCATAAGAGTGACTGTAGACTAAATAAACCCACTTGTGCTTTGGCAGAACACACTATCGATCTAGACCATAAGATAGATTACAGGAGTGATAACAACAATCTGAATAGAAGATCTGAGATCCAGAATCTTAGCAAAATTTACAATTTTATTTTGACTTTTTACTAGGGTCTTCTGCATCTCAGAGTTTTTCATGTCTTGTTTCTTAAATTCCATTATTAATTGCTATAATTATCATGATTAACTTCAGTTATTATTCAGATGTTAATTTTGTTTTTGGTTGTTTGTTTTTTCTAAACCTACTTACTAAATACTATTTTCTTTTTATTGTTTGACCTAATGAATTTTTTTAAATTTCCCTCTCAATTTAAAGTTGGTAACATAGTTGGTAGTACTTAAAATCACAAACGGTATTTTGTTAGACATCAGTTTGAAAGTTTGTTTTTTGTAGTTACATCGAACTATTTAAACAACAATAGTTCCTCCAACTACCTCTTTCTATTCGTGAGATGTGACTGAATTCAAACCTGCGAAGACGACTGTTTTTTGTCAAACATGTCGTCCTATTATTTACTTTTTAAACTTTGTAACATGTTCTTTAATTTTTAAGTTATTTTAAAAGTTTTAATGCCTTCAGTAATTCAGATCACATTATGTTATTAAACGTTGTGTTTTATATGCTATGAATCTTACTTTCTGGTTGAAATCCTGTATCTAGATATCTGCTGGTTTATAAAGTCAATGTCTCCCACAAACCAATTATATTTAGAAATGAGATAAGGTACTTTTTTTCGATTCGAAAATAGCGTTTGACTTGAGTGACTGGATTGACGCCATGGCATGTAGATGCTACTGTCACTATGTTAATATGTATCGACTGTTCCAATATATGGTAGTATATTAAGCATCTTTTTTGTCGCTGACAGACATCATGTTGGGGTGTAGAGCTTGTTCGCGTCCGTAGTAGGATACTACACGTGCACACTGGGTAACGCTAAATGACCTAGCAAATACTGGCGGTCAGATAATCGCAAGATCTCCTGACCAAAGACACATTGCAAACAATGCAATTAAACGTTATCAGAAGGCAAATTAACAATAATACAAATGGCCCTTCTCAGAACCCAACGACTAGAAAACTCGGACCTATGATCCAAATTTGTCATTTAAATGTAAAAAGGATATGCTATTCAAAAAGCCAGTACTTATCAAAATTTCTGGAAGATAACGACATTAACCTGGTCGCTTTATAGGAAACACAGTGCGAAACGGAAGAACAACTCCGAAAAAGGGGAAAAATACCTGGCTTCGAAATACTGGGTGCTACATACTACCCATCATACGGTACAT